GAGAGATCTAATGTGCAGAAATGGGGTGGAAGGGGAGGATAAAGGCAGTGGTCAGAGGCAGGAACAGACCCAGTGGGAAATACTATCATGGATGTCAAAGCAGGAGGAGTCTGAAATGAGTCTGCCGCAGAGATGAAAGTAGCAGTAGCCTGAGTGTGTCCCCCCCCCGCCATGGTAGCCTGAGTGTGTCCCCCCGCCCGCCATGGTAGCCTGAGTGTGTCCCCCCCCCCGCCACGGTAGCCGGAGTGTGTCCCCCCCCCGCCATGGTAGCCTGAGTGTGTCACCCCCCCGCCACGGTAGCCTGAGTGTGTCCCCCACCCCGCCACGGTAGCCTGAGTGTGTGTCCCCCCCCGCCACGGTAGCCTGAGTGTGTCCCCCCCCCGCCATGGTAGCCTGAGTGTGTCACCCCCCCGCCCGCCATGGTAGCCTGAGTGTGTCCCCCCCCCCCCGCCATGGTAGCTGTCCTTACATCTTGCACATGCTGTTCCGAGCACTTAGCATACTTACGATCAATCAGCGTGATCATTTGGTCATTGTCAACAGCCTTCCCGCTGCACTGTGACCCCATGACAGCAGGGAACATGCCACCCTTGTTCTGGCTTCTAGCTCAGCATCTAGCATGGTGTTTGGCACAGAGTGGGACTGGTAACCCCAAGTCATTGCTGCCTCCTGGCAGGACCTCTGCAGTCCATGTGCCTTCCTTTCTTCCCTCCCATACTCTGTACAGGTTGAGAGGGAAGAATCTTAGGACTCTGCAGGAGAAAGTGCAAGCTGTGCAGTTTTTAAGTTGCAGGTACAGCAAATATAAGTGGGTAGCCAAAAAAATGAGTCATCCAAACTCAATGGAGCTCAGTACATTAGGGTGGCTGGCCTTGAGGACAGTTTCAGCGTCAGTCCCAGAGTTTGTTTGCTTGTGTGTTTATTTATTTTTGGTACTGGGAGTTGAACTCGCAATGTTGCATTTGCCAGGCAGGTGCTTGTGCCACTGAGCTAAATCCCTGGTCCAGTCCCAGCAGTTACAGGCCTCAGGCTCTGAGCTCCTACAGTGGGGTCTTAGGATAGTGCTGTGTGACATAGCCTGTGATTGGCCCCATGAGCACCCCTGGAAAGTGTGCCCTCCTCTTAGCAGCATTTATTATGCAGTGACTCTTACATGTCCACCACCCATGGAGGTGGTGATGGTTCCTTTGTGATGCTGGGAGGCACCTGTGTGAAAGTTGTGGGTTTTGACTCCTTGGGGTGCCAGGCTGTCTTGTGATGAGGTCCCTATGAGGTGGTATATGAAAGGTGCTCCCAGAGAAGACTGGGGTGGCAGTACAGGAAAGGGATGGGGGACAAGGCGGAACTGCAGGCGGATCCCTCCGAGATCCACCCCCAGGCCTGCCCTAGAGTCTGCCTCATGCCTCAGATGTTCCTGAGCTGGGATGAGCTTCTCCTGCTCGGTGTAGTCTTTGGTGAAGATCACGGAAGCAGCAGGGCAGGGGTCTCACAATCCCAGGCACTCTCCCTCTGTGGTAGCCAGGTGGATGCCTAGCCCAAGAGAAGACCAAAAGCAACCCATGTTGGTGTTGGCTGGTGGAAGCCCAAGCTTTCCCATGTGGGTGCTCATAGGTTTGGCATGGACTGAACACTTACAATCCCAGCTACTCAAGAGACTGAGGCAGAAAGGTTGTAAGTTCCAGCCAAGCCTGTTTTGAGGAATAAGGACTGGGAATGTAACTCAGTGGTAGAACATTTGACTAACGTGGGAGACTCTAGGTCCAATCTCTAGCACTGCAAAAACAAACCAAAAAGTAAGGAGAATAAATAGGTGGAATGTCACACTGTTCACCACAGCAGGTCAAGTGAGAGACTATTTCTGGGCCCCTGTGGACTGGAAGCAAGGCTGTTCATTCCTCTGTCTCCTGTGAGGTGTTGCACCCATGGAGGCCAGCCTTCTGCAGTGTGGGTAACCCTTCGTGGGGGCTTCTGCCTACCGGGGCTCTCAGAAACCTGCATTGAAAATGAAAGAACCATGCTCCAGGGGCTGGGCCAAGATGAGACCCTGTGCCTGGTCCAGGAGCAGTCCCTGGAGCCTGGCTTGCTAAGCCATGGGAATGGGGCAAGGGTGGTGCAGGGGCCATGTTTCGAGAGATAAGAGAGCAGGAGTTGGGCAGGTGGTGGCTGGAGCCTGTTCCCTGGAGCAGCCTGTCAGTGGATGGCAGTGGTGATGAAGCAAAGCATTGAGTGGGCTCCAGGAGGAGTGAAAGGGTAGAGGCAGAATGGCCCAGTAAGGACAGGAAGCGGGGAGGGACAGATGCAGATCAGCCTTCCTAGAGGAGGGAGATTCAGGGGACCAGGTGACAGTCTGAAGCCATGAATATGGAAATGAGGAAGAGCAAAACACAGAAAAAATATCTTTTTAGTCAAGCAGGAGAAAAATCAACTGTTGTGGGAGTGTGGAAGCATTGGGACAGTCACTTTGGAGCCTGTGATAGACAGCAGTGGATACCTGGGGAAGGGCCCAGTGAGTGCATTACCGTTGTTGAGCACAGGCAGGTCCCTAGGTTGAGGAAGATGGTCTGGCAGTGAGGCCATTGATAAGACAGATGTTGAGGGTAAATCCAGAAGTGTCAGAGGTTCTGGGTGGTACCTGTTGTATACCGTGCTCGGTGGTGGTAAATGTCCGTCACTTACCTTTATAGGACAAGTGCTGTGTGGTTTACCCTGGTGTCTGCTAGGTTGCCTGACTGCAGGGCCAGGCTCCCATGTGCACTGCACCAGGGCTGTTGTGAGGCTCAGCAGCCTGGGTGTGAAATACATGAGGGCTGTAGAATGCCACAGGTGTGTGGCATGCTCCAGCCTCCTCCTCAGCTCCAAGAGATTGATATCTAGGCTCCTTCCTCTTCCAGGAGAGATGTGTTGGCCCTGGTGGGTAGAGACTGCAATGTAGGCTCTGGGTAGGAGTCCATTGGGTCAGAAGTGCAGCAGGTGTTGCAGGTGTCTATTTGTGGGTCTGAAGCCCTAGCAGAAGATGTGTTTGTCCGGAATATGTAAGAGCATGTGTGTGTTGGGGAGGGGCATCTCTACAAGTGCATGTGTGTATTTCTGTGCTTTTCTTTGTCTTTGTACCTGCTATACAGAGGAACTGACTACTGGAGAAACAGTAGTCAGTAATCTGAAAATGCAAGTTGAGGGAAGAAGAGTTAGAAATAACAGTAGCACATGTTCAGAAACGCTCAGCTGTACTCCTGAAACATGCAGAGTGCCTGTTTCTCTGTGTGCTTTCTTCAGTGGGCGAATGTAGACTTCTTGTGTACATGCACTGTATGTGTGTCTGGCACACGTTTGCGTCCCTTAGGCTCGAGAAATAAACAGAGTGGCAGGTAAATCCGGACTCATGGAAACACCCAGACATTCTGTAACACACCTTGTCTTGCCTGCGTATTCCTGTGTGTCTGTGGGTGTTTTTCTGAGTATGTGGGTGTCTTTGAATGTGAATAACACGAATACGGAACATAGACACCAGCCCTAGGAAATACACAGCTCCCACATCTGAATACACACAGGGAGGTTGGTGACACCACCATCAGCCTGAGGGGAGGGTGCCACGAGGAGGCCAGTGGAGGTGACCTGGGACTCCTGGCAGGAGCAGGTTGGTGAGGTCTGAGCTGTTGTTTTCCTCTAGTAGATCATTTGGCAAACACCATGGGTTTGTGGGGCCGTGGGAAAGATGCCAGTAAGAACTACCCCTGCCACATGTACCCAGAACAAGTCACAGTCCCTGTGGGTTAGGCGGAGTAATGAAGTTTCCTATGAATCATCAAACCTTGGAGCCCAGGAATAGGCCGCCTGCTGGGGGCACATCCTGGCTCTCACTCCCTGACCTCTCTCTGCCTGGTCCTGAGCACTCCAGTGGGGAGCACAGTGGCATCCCCTTCATGGGTGGCTGTGAGAATTAAGATGATTCTAAGGGTGGCCCAGGGTCACCCCACAGTCATCAGTTAGTTGAGCACCTACAGTGGGTTAGACCCTATTTAGGGGCACAGAGGCTTCCATCAGTGAACAGAATTCATGTCCTCACGGAGATAACCTTCTTCATGAAGGACACCGGTCAGTATGGAGCCAACAATGTATAAGACTTTGGGGTGTTGAATACAAGCAGGAAAACCAAAGCAAGACATTAGGACAGAGAGGGATGGGTGGTGGAGATAATGGCTGTCTTGGAGGGGCCGGAAATGGTGAAGAAAGGCCTTGTGATTGATGTGATGCTGTGTGATCAGAGAATGGGTGTGAAGCAGTGAGCCGGTGCTAAGAGGGGAAATACCCCGTGTGTCACCCTGTCGATCTCCTCTTCTATAGCTGAAGAAGTGGAGGCAGGGAGGCTGAATAATTTACTCAAAGTCTCATAGCCAAGGAGAAAGAAATTCTGAGAATTAAACCCAGGTTCCCTGGCTTCGGAGTCTTAAGTCAGTGGTCCTTAAGCAAGGGTGAATTTGCCTGCTAGGGGATATTTGGCAATGTCTGGAGACATTTTTGGCTGTCACATCTGGATTGAGGGTGCCACTAGCATCTAGTGGAGAGAGGCCAGGAATGTGGCCTGCTGCCCCTCAGTGTGTAGGACAGCTCCTCACTGCTCCCCAGCACAGCAGTATGCTAGCTGCATTGCTGGTCATGCTGATGCTGGGAAGTCCTGTCTGAATACACGCAAAGCACCAACAGAGAGTAGGACATGTCATAGATACTCAGTAGCTGAAGAGGAGGCAGAAATTATTTGGAAAAGGTCATGGAGGAGAAATGAATTTCGGGAGAAGAAAAAACATGTAAGTTAAAAATCCCAGGTGGTGCTGTATGCTTGGTGGGTGTCCCAGGAGCAGCATGGAGGCCAGTAATGATGGGATTGATGGGGTGGGTTCGGGGCAGAAGCTGGGCCACCACAAGCTGCTGACACTAACGAGATGACTTGTCTCTGTGTACCCCACCCTGTGTCTCTCCCCATCTCTCTTGGCCTCTTCTCTCAGGAGACAGCCGGAGGCTGAAGGGGGCCATCCAGAGGAGCACAGAGACAGGCCTGGCCGTGGAGATGCCCAGCCGGACATTGCGCCAGGCCAGCCACGAGTCCATCGAGGACAGCATGAACAGCTATGGCTCTGAGGGCAAGTGAGTGTGGGGCCCCAGCCTTCTGGCTCACCGTCTTCTTGCGGAGGGTAGGAGGTGGCACTGATCAATTCTGCAGGAGCCCTGGTCCCCAGGCTCATGGGGCATTGGCTCAGGGCTCCCAGATGGTACCCATCTTCAGAAAGGAGGCCGGGAATAGACAGTGGAGCACAGGCTCAGGTTCCCAGGCTCCACCTGAGTTCCAGCTCCACCCTCGATGCTGTGTGACCTTCACAGGGCCTGTTCCTGGGCCGGTTTCCTCATCTGTGGGTAGAGTAGACAGCACCAGCAACATGGGGTGTTGTAAAGGTCAAACATTTATAATCCGTGTAATCATGGGTTCAGGTTTATGGAGCACAGGACAGTGGGTTACAGGAGTTGTGCACCAGTGTGGGCAAATAAGGGACTGAAAGAGGTTTTGTTATCATCACTGTCATTTCTTCTTTATTTTTTTTAGTTTCTTAAATCCCAGTTGGATTTTAAACATAGAAAGTACAGTTTGATAGAAGGTATCTCACATACATCAGATCATACGACATCTGTGCTACATGGAACCTGGCCAGAGTTTCCCCCCAGGGCAGCACATCTGAATCACTGGGGAATTGGTTATAATGCAGATGGCAGGGCCCCACTCCTGAGACTGAATTAGTCTCTGGCAGTGGAGTCCAGAAGCTCCATCTTTACAAAGCTGCCTGGAAGAAGGACTCATGTAGACTAAGAGTTTCTCGGGGAAGGCTTTGGACCTGTTTTCCCCCCAACTCATTCCCACAGACACAGCCATACAAACCTGCTTTCCTTATAAGGGTTGGGGTACCCAGATTCCCCTAAAGCCCACCCTGGGCCTCTGGCAATGAAACTTAGATCCAGAGACTGCCATATTGCACGTATGACCAAGGCACTCAGAGAGGCTCAGGAGCTTGCCTGGGTATGGAGATGCTAACAGCCTGGAGCTTGGGAGTCCTGATCCCCAGCCGGGGCTTATTCTCCCACACTGCATTGCTTCCCCAGCCTGCCCTCCGAGGCAGGGTCTGAGTGGGGGTGTTATGATCCTTGTTATTCACATCAGGAGGCTGAGGCTTGGAAGAGTTAAGGTCTGCACTGTCCTGTACAGATGTCACTAGACACACATAGCTGTAAACTAATTAAAATTAAGATAAATTATCCTGTTCTTCCTCACACTTGTTGTGTTTCAAGTGTTGTATTTCAGTAGCAACATGTGGCTCATGGCGAATACAGAAAATGGAGTAATTTCATCATGCGAGAAAGTTCCACTGGGCAGCTCTGGCTGAGAGGGTTATTCAAGAGGTCATGAGCTGGGTGGGGCAGGCTGGGCTGGGCTCTGTCTCTACCTTTTGCACCCCTTCGTTTCTGACTCTGCCTCTCAGTTGAGGCCTCCTCCTGGCCAAAAGCCTTGTCCACCCCCCAGCCCCTCCCAAACTAGGCATCTCTGGCCCGGTGAGTGGCCATGCCTTGGCAGTCACTGCAGTCCCGCCTGCCTGTGTGCGGCTTCCTGGTGAAGGGGTGGGAAAAAGAGGAGGACAGGTGGAAGACAGAGGGGGGGGAGGGGGAAGGGAAGGGGAGGGGGGAAGGAGAGGGGGAGGGGAGGGGGAGGAGGAGGAGGAGGAAAAAGGCAGTCAGTGTTTTCCCAACCCGAGACACCTGGCAGGGCAGCCAGACTTGGAGGAAGATGTCCTCAGCACTGGGAATGGCAGATCCCTGCTGACAGCTGTGTGAGTCTCGTGGCCTCAGGAGGCTTAGGGCCCCCCCTGGCTCTGCCACTGACCTTGGCCTTGGGAACAGCTTGTGGGCCTTTCTGAGCTTTGGGGAGGTTGGGAAACAACTTGGACTCCTGGACGGGCCAGGAGCAGCAGGTTTTGGGGAGAACAGTGTGGTGCAGCCCATTTCGCAGAAGAGGAGGGGAAGGCTGAGAAGGGCATGAACTTGCCCGCAGAGAGAACAGAGGAGGATGTCATGCACACAAGACAAGGTGGGACCTACATGCGCAGAACCTTGGAAGGTGGCCTCAGGATCATGTGCTAAAATGCACCGGAGAACCGGCAAGTCAAGATTATATTAAGACAGGTTCAAAGCAGACTCGGCAGCCAGATGGCCTTTGCTTTGCTCAGCTCTGCTTTTTAGCAGCTTTTTGACTTTGGGGAAATCACTTTTTCCCTGAACACAGTTTCTCCATCTATAGAAAAGGACCAGTAACAGCACAGACCACTGAAAGAGTGTCTGTGAGGATTTGCTGAAGTTGATATATGAAAAAGCAGTTAGAGCTGTGGCCTGTGCACATCAGCTCTGGTAATTAAGTGTTGGATACTTAATCAGTGGCAGGGGTCAGTGGCATTCTAATGGCTACCACGTGCCACACCAAAAACAGCCGTGTCTATATGGTGCTTAGCACAAAGTACTGAGCAAATGTTGTAAGTGCTTAGCACTAAGTAAGTACTAACTGTGACTATTAAAAGGTTTTTCTGGGGTGAACCCAGGTGAGGAAGGATCAGGAAGGGCGAATGATGCTGGCCCAGCAGTGGCAGTAGTGTTGCCCTCTGAAGAGGGTCTGGGGCTCTAGTGCAGTAGGGGTCCTGGAGAAGGCAGGGGAGCCCTGAGCTGTGGTCAGCCTCCTCCTTGTTCTGTAGGTATTTTGGGCACTGGTTGGACCCAGATGTCAGCCTCTAACACAGGAAGGGGTGTGACTGTTTTCTTCCCTCTCACCACCCCCTGGGCTCCTGCCAGCCCAGCTGAGGCTTTCAGGGAGTCAGCTTCCTCGAGATGCCCTGTGGGCCGTAGCCCATGATGCTTCTGGGTCAGCCTGACTGTGCACTGGGTCACCGGGCATATGCATTCCTTCAGGGGGGATCTGGGGTGCTCCCACATGGATTTTCACCTCAATAAATGTTATTGAGCATCTATAGTATGGCAGGTAATTGGGCTAAGCACCTCTGAGACCCCACCCACTGTGAATTTCCATTGTAGGATGCTGACTAAGCAACTAGCAGTGTGCTGACAGCTGCCAAGACAGGTACAGGAAACTCAGGCTGAGGGGGGAAAAGGAGTGTTTGTGGGTTTGGCCACTGTGGCAGTGAGGATGCCTTGGGCTCCAGTGTCCTCATATCAGCAGACAGTGACTTTAGCCCTTGTAATCCAGTGTGGTCTGTAACCAGCATTTTCTGGGAGTGTGTAAAATTAGAGTCTCAGCCTCCACCCAGACCCGCTGGTCAGAATCTGTATGTTTTTATTAGTTATATTTTATCAGTATATGTTTATACTATATAATGATTCCATTTACTGTAGGGAATTTGTTCATGTACATAACACATCTTAATTCATTTTGGTCCTCTTCCCCTTCATGTCTTCCCATTCCCTCCAACTCTTGATTCCTCTCCCATTTGAAAAGGTCTGTTTCCATTTTTTTCTCTGAAGAATCTGTATTTTAATAAGATTCCCGGTTGGTCTGTGTGCGTGCTAAGGTCAAGAAGTCCTGGCCTAAAATTATTAGCGACTGTTACTAATGTGAGGAGTGCGTGTGTGGGCACTGTGCTATGTGCTTTTACATCTATTGACTGGTTTAGTGCTCACAGCCGTTTGGTGGTGGTGGGACTGTTACCCCCATTTCACAGATGATGATGTGGAAGCTCAGAGAGGGTGGGTAATGCAAGGTCATCATAGAGCAGTGAAGGAGCTGGAATACCAGCATTTGAAGTCACACTCAATTCCTTCACTTAATAGTTGTAACTATGAAGATCTCTGGAAATCAGGATGATTTGGTGGCTTAACGATGCCAACAAGGACCCAGAGTGCCTCCATCTTTCCCCTCTGCAGCATCAGCATCCGTGCCATGATTTGTTCTCTGAGCTAAGGAAGGGCTTTGTTTCCTGTGCCTTGTTCTGCCTCGTTAAAACTCGAGGTTCTGTTTGTTGAGGATGAAGGGGCATCCAGCTAAGCTCCCCTCCCTAAGGCAGGCTCCTCTCACCCACATACAGCAGACAAGGTGTACAGTTCAAGCCCCCTCAGGCTCTCCCTAACCCTAGGACAGTCCCAGTAGGCTGTCTGCTTTGATTTGAGTTTTCCCAGAACCAGACCTGAGACAGGGATTCGAGCTGACTGGAGTAGTGATTCTGGAAAGCAGTGGCAGAGGACCACATGAGAGAGGAAGGGCGGGTGGGCGTGTAAGAAGCCAGCCTCTGCTGGGGGCAGGAGGGCTTGGTCCTGGTGGGGACCTCTCCCAGCCGGAGTGGCACAAGCACCTGGGAGTTACCCCGGGAGCCGAGGAGTGCACATATTTATCTCGTCTCTTACCAGTTATACTAATTGATGGCTGCTCCTTTAAGCCTCTTTCCCTTCCTGTAACAAAGTAGGATAAGGGCTAGAGAAGTTCTTCAGGGGCCAGAGAAACTCAAACAAAAGAATGCAGATGCTGACTGGACAGGATTGAGGAATGGACTAGCAGAACCTTCCACAGTCTGAATGCATAGAACTTCTATCTATCAGCTGCCCAAAACAGAAATGGAGGGCCTCTTCTAGAGGGCTCCTCCCATCTTGTATTTTTCATCCAAACCACATTTTACTTTTCAGTGTCCCTTAAGGCTGTCCATTTATACACATCCCCATCCATGAATGGCCCTGGTGAGGCCACTATTAACTCATGCCTGGACACCTGTAAATCTCCTTTTTGGCCCACACTGTAGTCTGCCACCCAGCACTTACATTCTCTGACCTCTCCCGGCCTCTCTCAAACCCCAGCCATGTGTCTCCACCCATCACCCTTAACTTCTGCTGTTCCCCAACTCAAGCCCAGGTCTTTGTGACCATTGCTCCCTCTACCTGGCACTCCCTTTCCTGCCCCTGCTCCCTCTTTACCCTCTGACTCATTCCTCTTCCAGATTTCAGCTTAGAACTGGCACATAAGCATCATCTCCTGTGCCAACTCCAGCTAATTGATAGTGGCTCCCTGGAGTGCTGTCGAGAAGGATTCTGGAGCCAAGTCCAGGCCTGACAGT